AGCGCACTAACCATGAGGCCACCGCGTTGGGGAATGGTAGGAGATTATTTCCCCTGTTTAAAAGAAGGTGCTAAAAATTTACCAGCAGGAGTATTTTGAGAATAGGAGAGAAGGTTTGGTGCTGCTACTTTATATACAACCATATTTTTGCGGCAAAATAGGGGCTATTGTTTATATACACAGGGTTTTATTTAGAGCCAGTGCATTTACAGCTTACAAATCATGATTCTACACCTTCATTTCATAATCCATTTTTATTAGATAAGGCAGTTTAAATTGTGTATGCAGTATACTTGAAAAGCCATGGGGAGCAAAACTGAACCTTGCAAAACTTATTCGGAATAATTCTCCATTAGGGATTGGTGAAAGGCTGTAGAAATATATTTTCTTTTTATATAATTATATGTATTAGTTAAACAATGCCTGTATGTAACTGGTTGTACCTTTCAAAAACCATAGCCACGCGATCCTCGCATTGACGTGGCAAAACGTGGGGTTTTGAAACTTTTTAGTTTTGAAATAATGACTAAATTGCTGTAAATTAAGCTTAAATAAGTCGTAAGGTAATAATTACTGACTGCTGCATAAGGGATTTTCGAAGGAAATGCAAACATAGTAACTATGATGCAAAGTGTGCAAACGTTTTAATCACCATTTAACTATGGGGTGCGAAATACAGTCACCTGACGCTTTTTGGTGTGGCTAATTTTTTTTTCACTTTGTTATTTACAAGCTTATAAAGGAAAGGGAGGGAAGCATAAGATGGACTAAAAATGGCTTTATGGGCCCGAAAAGTTTCCGGGGCTTTCGAGAAACGGGTCCCAAAGAACTAGCGCTGAATAGCGAAGATATTAGTTTACAAACATTGTTTTTGTTATTTAAATGTTCAAAACGTTAAACAAAACAACTCTTTGTTTCACCACCCAATAGTTCTCTGGTTGGCATATTAATAGCAATAGGTGACGACACTGATAATTTCCGAAAAAGATGACAACTCCCTGAGGTATACTTAAATTTTCGAATTGTTTTTTCCTGGAAATTTCTTTTCCATTT